ACGACATGGCAGGGAAAGAATGAGAAACACAAGGGAAAACAATGATTTACATTGATATAACTATAATATGAAGTAACATACAACTAAAACAACAGTTGGATAGCTATTCCCTACTTTATTGGTTAGGATTTTTAATTGCATAATGCAAACTGTTGATTTTCAAAATAAATAAAAAAAACGTTCATGCCCCGCATTCCAATGCTGGAGCAGAAAAGCTTGAAATACCTACCAAAACACTTGAATAAAGACATACTGTCAGTATGGAAATGCTCTGTGCAGGTGTTAATCAAGTTAAATCCCAACAGCCAATCAGCAAGAAATGATCTGTGCAGGTGGAAATGCTCTGTGCAGGTGTTAATCAAGTTAAATCCCAACAGCCAATCAGCAAGAAGTATAGAGGAAAGCTGCATGCCTATTGGTTGATGACCTGCATTCCATTGTGATGACTCATGCCCAAACGTGGTAAACAAGGCACACTAACACAGTAATACATTTGCTATAACACAGCCAAAAAAACTCAAATAAAACCATTCTAAAAGCCTGTATCACAATAATTTAAAAAACGCCTAGGGGTATTTGCCCACTGTACCTCCATACCAAATTTCAGGACCTTAGGCCCTAAAATGAAGAAGCTGAATCCATTTAAAAATGGCAGGAGAAGGAGGAGGAGAAGGAGAAGAAACATCAGAAAAAGCAATATGGGTTCACCACCACTTCGTGGTGTGGTGAACCCATAAATACAATGTGCAGGCATAGATGCCATCTGGTGGCAGAATCACAAGTTGGTAATAAATTAGCAACACTTGAGTGAAGTTTGGAAGAAAACAACTCGAACAAATTTTAAGAAATGGTGCTTTTGTTACAGAAGTAGACGCTGTGCCAATAGAACGTGCCTAGTTTTATTATTATGGGTTCACCACACCACGAAGTGGTGGTGAACCCATATTGCTTTTTCTGATGTTTCTTCTCCTCCTCCTCCTTCTCCTCCTCCTCCTCCTGCCATATCTTTAAATGGATTCAGCTTCTTCATTTTAGGGCCTAAGGTCCTGAAATTTGGTATGGAGGTACAGTGGGCAAATACCCCTAGGCGTTTTTAAATTTTTGTGATACAGGCTTTTAGAATGGTTTTATTTGAGTTTTTTGGCTGTGTTATAGCAAATGTATTACTGTGTTAGTGTGCGTGTTTACCACGTCTGGGCATGAGTCATCACAATGGAATGCAGGGCATCAACCAATAGGCATGCAGCTTTCCTCTATACTTCTTGCTGATTGGCTGTTGGGATTTAACTTGATTAACACCCGTACAGAGCATTTCCACCTGCACAGAGCATTTCTTGCTGATTGGCTGTTGGGATTTAACTTGATTAACACCTGCACAGAGCATTTCCATACTGACAGTATGTCTTTATTCAAGTGTTTTGGTAGGTATTTCAAGCTTTTCTGCTCCAGCATTGGAATGCGGGGCATGTAACGTTTTTATTTTATTTTGAAAATCAACAGTTTGCATTATGCAATTAAAAATCCTAACCAATAAAGTAGGGAATAGCTATCCAACTGTTGTTTTAGTTGTATGTACTTCATATTATAGTTATATCAATGTAAATCATTGTTTTCCCTTGTGTTTCTCATTCTTTCCCTGCCATGTCGTAAAATGTGGTGAACTCATCGCTGTATTTGCTCCAAAGCAAATATTGGCCTTTCTAGTTTACTACTCATTCCTCTTCTGCTATTATATGTAGACTAACAAGTAGCATATAGCTGAAGGCATTTAACTTAAATAGCTGCCTTCAAG